CAACAGCTCAAGTCAACAACAAAAAAGCATCATTTGTGAGCAGGAACTCAGAAGAAGGCATAACTGATTTTCAAATCTTAAAGGAAAAATTGTGATATATTATGAATACTCTGCTAAGAGAGAGTCATTTAAAATTTCTCTGGATTATGCCAAAAAGTCACCCTTCACTAGTGCCGGGGATACTAGGCTGGTACCACAACAGCCTTAGCACCTCCCCTTGGAGGTCATGTAGGCCTATGGAAAGTGGAATAAAGGACAGATCCCATACCCCTAGTTGGCCTCCAGGAGGCCAGTCCGGGCTTTGGGACCTGAGGCAGGATCATTGGCCGGGCTTCTCCTACAAGACACTGGCTAAAAATGGGGCGTGGGGTGTTCTAACAGAAGCGTAAGAGACAGGTGCAGGAAGTAGACTGTATCTGTAACCTGACTTAGAGAGATCAAATGCTAACAGGCATGTTACTGCTTGTTTTGAGACAGAGTCTCACTATGTAGCCCAGACTGGCCTTGACTCATAATTCTTTTTCCTCTGCTTCTCAAGTGTTGGGATTGTGGGCCTGTGCCACTATGCCCAAGCATTTTGAAAATAACTGGGTAATTTAAGTACATTCTCAGAATTAATGATACTAAGGTGCTATTCATTTTATACAGTAATGAGTGTATACAGCCATGTAAGAGAATGTCCTTGTGTTTTAGAGATGTTTGCAGAATTCTGAGGAAAGGCACAATAGGCACACTAGGGGCTTCTTTAAAATGCTACAGTACAAGCTGGGCATGGTGGCGCACGCCTTTAATCCCAGCACTCGGGAAGCAGAGGCAGGCGGATCTCTGTGAGTTCAAGGCCAGCCTGGTCTACATAGTGAGTTCCAGGACAGCTGGGGCTACAGGGAGACCCTGTCTCAAAAAGACAAAAACAAACAAAAAAAGCTACAGTACAAAACTCAGAGGAGGCTTGCATGGCAACGCACAGCTGCAGTGCCAGGACCCAGAAGGCTAAGACAGGAGGAGCACAAGTCCAAAGCCTGCTGGGCAGCTTAGTAAGAACTTGCCTCAAAATAAAAAGTAAAAAAAGTAGAGGGTTGGGAGTAGAGCACAGAGGTAGAGTGCTTGCATGGCACGCAAAGACCCCAGGTTCAATACCTCGTACTACAAACACATTTCAGAAGAAAACATGGGGAGAGAGAGAGAATGTGAGTAACCAGGTATTATCAATGTTGGGCGGGGAGCAGAGGGTTATTTTACTCCTTTTCCTGCTTTTGTGTATTTTGAAAACATTCTAATAAACTAAAACATTATCTACAGAAAGTGAGGTTCCATTAGTAGAAAACAAAAACAACAAAACCCATTTTATAGGAGCCCTAGCAGAAGATGATTGAGAATAGAATTTATTGAGAGTCTGTCAGAGAAGGGTGTGACAAAGTCAGACTTGAAGGAGGTCCTTCTCCCTCTGGCGGGAACACCCTTGCCCAGAGCACTATCTTTACCAAGAAGTAGTCCCAGCCTGGCATCAGAGTGGCCTCAAAACCTCCCATACCTGATTTGATACCCAGATACTAAGGTGGGCTCTTTTTAAAAACAAATGTAGCAGTTGGTAGAGTGCTTTGCCTACCATGCACAGAGCTGTGAATTCAATCCCCAGTACCTTGTAAACTGGGTACGGTGTCTCACACTTGTAATCCTAGCATTTTGGAGGTGGAAGCAAGATGAGCAGGCCATCTTTGGTCACACAGCCTGAGATGCAAGATCCTGCCTCAAAAAACAAAAACCAACCAACCAATCAAAAAAACAAGACAACTTTGTGCTTCATAGTGTCAGTGAGTACATTTGTTAGGTGGTGACTGAGGAAGGAGCAGGGTAGTCTTCACTCATCATATGAACACGAAGGTTCAGGAAAAAACATTTAAAAATATTTTATTTATTATTTTATTTGTATGAGTGTATTGCCTGTATGTGTGTAAGTGCACCCATGTCGAGCAATGCCAGCAGAGGTCAGAAGAGGGCTTAGGATTTCCCCGGAACTGGAGTTAAAGGCGGTTTATAGCTGCCATGTGGGTGCTGGGAATTGAACTCGGGTCCTCTGCAAGAGCAGTCAGTGCTCTTAACCACTGAGCCATGTCTCCAATCCCCAGGAAAAACATTTTAAAGGTGATTCAGACTATTTCTTCCCTACAACACAAATTCAAGGCTTCCTTTTGGGATGATACACTGGGACAAAACCAACTGTCCTGAGCAGAACTGTTCTAAGTAGTATTGCCTTGTGCGTATAGAAAGTGGTTCCCTGCCTCTAAGTATTATAGGGACAGAATAAAGAATAACTCAACACATAGCAAGCACTGACTGACTGGACTAGTAAAAGGATGAGACTGTAGTTTATGTTTAAGGAAGCTAAAAAATTACAGTTACTGCTGTGCATGGTAGCACATGCCTATAATCTTAGCATTTGGGAGGTTAAGGCAGACAGACTGCTGTGTTTGAGGCCAACCTAGGTAAAGTGAGACCTTGTCACAAAAAAAAAAAAAAAAAGAAATCACGATACATTTATCCACAATCCCTTGCTAGAATCCAACCAACACTAACAAGAAAAGACTGACATCCATAAGATGTCAACAGCTCAAAGGTCAGCAAGGTGGTTTCTGCAAATACGGTTATTCCATCACAGCACAGAACCAGAAGTCTCATAAACGAATGTTTAAAGTTCCCAGAATAGGCTGGGAATGTAGTTCAGCAGGAGAGTAGTCGCCCAACATATGTAAGGCCCTGTGTTCAATCCTTAGTACCAGAAAAAAAAAAATCCACGTGACATTTTGAAAAGAAAATGAAACTTAAAATAAATATGTATTGCACTGCTACACCCCCCCCCCCCCCCCCCCCCCCCCCCCCCCCCCGCCGGCCCTGCAACCAAAGTTCCAACCTGTGCTCCTAGGGGCTAAGCAAATTCAATAGCATCTGACCAGGGCTGACCTCTGCCCAGCACCTGTGAGACGCTGGGTCTAATGGGCGTTTCCTGCCCTCCAGATCCTGTCTGTATGGTGAGTATCAGCCCCAACTCAAAGTGGTTTAGACCTCCACATGGCACCCAGCAGGGCTCCCTCTGCCTGTACTCACTGAGCCCTTCTACTGCCTTGGGACAGAACTATGTCTTCAAAGGCAGCTACTGGAAACAGCTATCATTAGTATTGGAAACCACCTGACACAACCCAGGCATTCACATATTTTGTTTTTATCATTATAAACTAACACTGTGTTATGTCAGTAAAAGAAATGACTCTGCTATGCTAGCTTGTGCCATGACTTTCAAGGCCACTTGTGGTTCTGGTTCTACTTGGTTGCAATCATAGTATCGATAACACCTGCAATTACAATGAACAGAAGGCAGCAGCTTACACGTTCACAGTGGATTTTAGATCGGTGCCTGTGCAAGCCCACTTTCAACAGTACTGCCTAGGTCTCAAGTCAGTAATGAGCAGAGGCCTCTGGTACCAGTACAGTCCCATGGCCAGCTCTGCATGTAGAAGGCTGCAGCCCCTACTGCCCATCCTGGGTTAGGATGCCACTGAGGCATTCTTCAGAGGTTTCAAATACTGCACAGGCTGTACAAATTAGACAAAACTCATATCCTAACTCACTATGGGAAGCATGGCTTATCTTACAAGCAGCACCAAGAAGCATAAAACACACAGATCATCATGAATCAAAACGGTGTAACATCCAAAATGTATAGCACCAGTTTTGCTTGAATTCAAAGCACATGTCAAAAAGACAAAGCTGTGGAAGTCAACTCATCAATTGCCAGGACTAGCTAGAAATGCTCATCTATCTTAAATTGGATGTGTAGGCTTTAACATCATCCAAGTGAAAGTTTTAGCTCTTTGACATTCAAAATAGTATATCAGTGATTAGAAAAACCCTATCTAGCATGAACTCATTCACTTTCTATGTCTTAACCAAAAGATCCTGAATTCTAAGTATACCAATGGGGAGGGGGTCTCCTTGTAAAGGAGTCTGGAGTGGTCAAGATGGGTTTTTATCTATCTGTTCCCCTGGAGTGGAACTCTTTAAACTGTGTTGAAAACTGAAAGGGACTCTTTCCCCACTTGTCTGTGCAAAGGGATTACTGAAGAAGAGGCTCACATCTAGGGGTGCCTCAGCCTCAGAGTCCCAAGAGTCTGTGTCTGTGCTGCTGGAGTCTTCAGCTGTTGTGGGTGGGTAGCTGAGCTGTTCTAACTGATCAATAATGTCAGAAAACTGAAAGGCTGAGCTGGACTCAGAGCGGATTGAATAGGCTGGGAAGTTAACCATGGAGCTGGCCTCAGACTGATTGGCTGAGCTGGACGTATGCAGAGAAAGCCCACCATGCAGTGGCAGGTTATTGAGGGAGCTGTTCTCAGACTGGTTGTTCCTAAGTGAGCTGGTCTCAGAAGGACTCAGCAGGCTCTGCATCAGGCTAGCCTGAGCCTTCACCTCAAACAGCTCCGAGGTATCCGAGGGATGTGTGTTGCCATTGAAGTCACTTCCTTCCCCAAATTCAAAATCGTCTTCTACACTCATATCCACTGCCTCAGTGGAGTATCTATCTGGGCTGGACTGGGCAGACTCTGGATGCTGGAAGGAACCTGGACTACACAAGGGAGGGGACCCAGTGGATGGGACAGGTACCCGGGACTCCAAAGGGATTAAAGCATTGTACGGGAAAGAAAATGCCTCAGAGCCTCCAGCAAAGAAAGAAATGTCTGCTGGGTCATCGTCTATGAACTCTTCAGATACCTGCAACTGTGCATTTGTCAATGTGAAAACAGGGACACCCCTGTGGCACTGCCGGCCACCCCGGTACTCCCCACTGGACAGGATGGAGCTTGCAGGAAAGTCATCCTCACCACTGTCATTTCTACCAGCAGCTTTGAGTCCCCGACTGGCCCGCCCTTCGTTTAGGTCTAAAGAATTGAGACTCTGTCCTGTGGGACAGACAGAACCATGGCTGCTCACAACATGACAAAACCCAACACCTGAACCAGGCTGGAGCACGGAAGGTCCAGGGAGATGGGTCGACTGTGTGCTGGGGCCTTCAGATGCTGCTCTGCTGCTCCTCTCTGCCGCTGTGCTCTTGATGTAGGGAGCTTGGGGATCCACAAGGGAGATGCTACTGTCCTTGAAATCAGGCAGACCAGGAGGGGTCAAAAGGGAGGTAGGGAGTGGGTAAAAGGAGGCATTTGCTGAAGACAGAGAAGAAGTTCTTAAGCTCTCGGTGAATGAGATGCTCTGAGAATTGAAATTAGAAAAGAAAAAAAAGGAACATATAAAAATTATAAACCACCATTATAAATTATAAAGCCAACTTGGTCAACTTAGGACACCTATTTTTTTTTTTTGGGGGGTGTTTTCTCTTTTTGTTTTTGGTCTTTTTGAAACAGGGTCTCCCTGAAGCCCCAACTGGCCTGGAACTCACGATTAGACCAGGCTGTCCTTGAACCCACAGAGATCCACCTGCCTCTGCCTCCAGAGTACTGGGACTACAGGCATGTGCCACCATGCCCAGCTGTTTTTTTTAGTATTTATTATTTTTATTTTATGTGCATGAATGTATTGCCTGTATGTGTGTAACTGCCTGCATGTGTGTAAGTGCAATTCTCAGTCTGTCCCTGTGTGTTGTCCCCACCACCGCCCCCCCCCCTCCTCTGGCATCCACAGTAAAGAGAAACTCCTCCTCCCTTGGAGGTTGGAAGAAGGTGTTGGATCCCCTGGAACTGGAGTTACACTTGTTAACTGCCATGTAGGTGCTGGGAATTGAACTCAGGTTCTCAGCAACAGCAGTCAATTCTCTTAACTGCTGAGCCATCTCTCCAACCTTGTAGCCCCAGTTGGCCTGGAACAGGCTGACCTGCCAGGCTCTACCTCCTGAGTGTGATTAAAGGCAAGCACCAAACCTGTCTTGGATATCTACATATTTTTACAGCTTTTCTGAAAGGGGCACCTGAGCAGACTTTCCTTTTTACAACTGAAGATTTTGAATTTTGTTTTGATTCAGTCTTACTATACAGCCTTGCTGGCCTCAAACTCATAGCACTCTGCCTCCTGAGTGCTGGGATTACAGGTATGTGCCACCATGCCTGGCTTAGATTTGTAAAAGTACAGTATTGTAATCTGAAGCAGGGCCATCTATTTATAACCCTTTACAATTCTGTCTGTCCTTGTTCCCACCCCACCCCCAACCCCCACACCTCTTCTGGCATCCACAGTACAGAAACTCCATTCTAGAGAACCAGACAACATGAAAACATGTCTTTGTGACAACCCTTGCCATCTTGAGGCTGTAAATAGACATGTTTGGATGGTAGTATCTCTATTCAGCCAAAACTGCCCTTCACCATGGTGCTGGCACCAGGTGACAAGTCCAAGTTTGCAGTCTTGGTCTCTTTACCGGTAGAGACTTGCTAGCACCAAGGAGTAGGTACACATACCATTCCTCTCATGTATGCAACGGAAGGTCAGAGGGATACGGCCCTTGCCCTCCTCAGTGGTATAGGAACCTTGGGACATTCTGAAAGTGTTAGAGGCACCTCAAGAAGGAGTGAGAGAAGAGATTCATGAGAAGGGTGAGGAAATGCTGGAGGGGCTGTGAAGAAATCACTGTGGCCCTTGCCACACCACAGGTGTCCTGGCTCATGTAAGGCTGCCTCCTTTCTCTACCTAAGAATCACTCACCATGTGTACTATCACAAAGGTGTACTCAAGTTTTGAGAAAATCCTCTATTATAAACATATGCCCAGTATCATTAGGAGAGTGGTTAGCCTGAAATATACCCACACAAAACTGAGTATTTCCTGGGAAGTATGACCAGAGGCAGTACACACAGGTACACACATATCACAATATGGAATACAAGCAAATACTGTGGCAGGAGACCCACCAACTTTTAGAAACAACTAACCTTTTAGAAACAAAATAGCTGGTCATGATTCTAAAAGTAATCTGTTTTCTTTGTAGAATATGTAGGAAAAAAAAATGCCTTTTTGGTTTTGTTTTATTTGAGGCAGTACTTCCTATGTAGCCCAGGCTGGCTCTGAACTCATGATCTTCCTGTCTCAGCCTCCCATGTGTGGGAATGATAGGTATCAGTCACAATGTCTGGTATATTGCCTTTTGTTAATCACCCAACCATATTAAATATTCTCTGTGGCTTTTAAAATGTAATGTTAGATAACTGGAAGCTTAAGTATAATTTTTTAGAATATTTATTTTTTGGAATTCAGTTAAAACCTGGGGATACCCAAATATTAAGATCACACCTGGAGCGGGGCATGGTGGTACATTCTTTAATCCCAGCACTCTGGAGGCAGAGGCAGGTAGATCTCAGGTCAAGGCCAAAAAAAAAAAAATCACACACGGAGCTCTTGGAAACTGTACTTAGTGTAAATGACACGATTAACAAAAATGAACACTGGACAGAACTTTAAACACAAGCTGAGAACACAAGGAAACAATAATGCAGCAGTACCCTAGAGCAGGATTTGGTGTACTGCCATGCTTGTGGGGAAGCTAGCCTTCAAATATGAAAGGGGAAAAGGCTGTGATGAGGCAGAGCTGGAGCACAGAGAAACCACTGATGTCTCAGCACAGGGGCATGGAGCAGCTGCTCTATCACTGTGGCTAATCCTGACACGTGTTGCTCCACAGCTGCAATCAGGCCAAAAACATACAGCTGTAAGGCTATTCCTGCTTTGTCTTGTAACAGCAAGATGTCTTCATGCAACTACATCTTCACAGCAGTCTTCTGAGAGTAGCACACAAGCCTACTACCTGGATGGGCTACAGTGTATCCAGAGGACAACTGCACAGCTGGCTGTTGTTCAGGATCCCCAGTGGATGGTGAACAACACTATGATGCATAGGGCAGAGCTCACAGATGTTCCTGCATTTAGGGATTCTTTCTGAAGCTGAAGTGCTCATGATGCCATGTGACTACTTTTGAGACTCTTATTACAGCATTGCAGATAATTTTCCAGAAGAGTACATACAGATAATTAAAACTGCCTGTGGTTTCAAACAGAAAAGACTAACCTGTTTAGGCAGGTCTACAGTCAAAGCATGGATAGATGTCCGAGTCTTACTGTGCCGTCTGCAAAACAGAGAATATGCTATGAGGGTTAGACCCCCTTTATCGCCATACCTGTTGCCCCTGACCTCCTGTTCTAGAATCACATGTATATACTGCATCTATGAATATGAATATGATGAAAACAAGGGTAGAAAGCTAGAAATAGGAAGAAGGAAATAATAATGTGAATAAGAATTCAACTAAAAAATGAAACCCAGAAGAGGTAAAATTATATATGCACACCAATGGAAAAATTCCATATGAATTTTGAGATTGTTTACCATACTATGTGTGCTGGTTAGTGCTGTCAGTCTGGCAGGATCTGAAATCACCTAGGAGACAAGTTTCCAGGCACATCTATGAGGGATTATTTAGCTTTTTGGCATGCCTATCAGGATTCTATTATTAGGTTAACTGAGGTAGGGAGACCCTCCCACTGCAAATGGAACATACCCTGGAAGAGAGTCCTGAGACTAAAGGACCAGGTGAGCAGAGCACAGGCACTCACCACTCTGTTCCAGACTGTAGAAGTGATGTGACTAGATGTTTCAAAGGCCTGATGCCTTGATCTCCCCACTATGATGGACTGTACCCTGGAACTATGAACCCACATAAACCTTTCCTTCCTTAAGTTGCTTTTGTTGGGTACTTTGTCACAGCAACAGGAAAAGACGTCAAAACACTATGTAAAATCATTACATATAAGCTGAGTTGTATAGACTGGAAACTAGAATAGTATCTGTGGATGAATACAATGATCTGCATGAAGGCGTTACACATGCATTTTAAAAAACAAAAACACCAAAAAACAACCCCTCTAACATGAAATACATGTTTATTTACTTAAACAGCCTTTTATTTACGCAAATGTTAAAAATAATGGAAACATCTTTTTTTTTTTTTTTTGGTCTTTTTGAGACACGGTCTCCCTGTAACCCCAGCTGTCTTGGAACTCACTATGTAGACCAGGCTGGTCTTAAACTCACAAAGATCCACCTGTCTCTGCCTCCCAAGTGCTGGGACTAAAGGTGTGCATTACCAGGCCTGGCTGGAAGAAAATAATTTAAAATGGCAAAGAAACTAGGCTCTAACTAAAGAGAATAAATGAACATCTTTCTTAAGATGTACAGATTTGTACTTCACCTGTATCTAAATCAATTTCCCGCTTTTATTCTTAGTCCAGATGTGAACAACTAACCTATAGGAATCACTTGAATATCC